GGGTCGGAGGGAGGGTAGTAGGGACTCGCAGGTGGCGGGAAACTTAAATGTGATTTGGCGGCTGGGAATTTGGCAGTTGGGAATTCGCGAATGTGTGAAGCCCTCGAATGTTGAGGGAGACCTGTAGTCTGTTTTCGTTAATTCCCTCTGGTTTTGTCGGTCGTATGGAACACGTCCGAGTGCCCACGCGCACACCAAGCCTCCCACACACCATTCTGAGTCAGTGTGGCACTGTTTCTCAGGGAGTAAACATTACCCTGCGAGGTCATACGAAACATTTCACAATAATCCATTGTTTTTAGCACTTGTTTATTGTGCGAGACTGCTAAATAAGCCACCATGGGCCCAAAGAAAGCTCCTATGGTAAAGGTGAGAAACATGATACAATTCAAGAACTCGTAGCAAAGTACCAATGTGGAGGAGGAAGAGAGGGAAGAATGTGCCTTCAGTGATTCTATGATGCTAAAGCAGCATGAGTCGATAAAGGCTATAGCACCAACCAGCGATAAAGTGTAGCATTAACAATACAGCAATTAAGTGATAGAAAAAGGACACGAAACTAACTACTCCATTGTTGTTGGAGGTATATAGGGCCACTGACAAGATACGCCGCTTGTGAATCTTCCACCACCCTAAACCAATGCCAGCATCTCCAAGTGCGAATATTTCTTATTTATAAATTAAAGTGTAAATACAGTATTTCTTATTTATAAATTACATACATTGTTTCAGTGTGAATAGTGGTGGTGGCCTTTGCTGCCACCACCGCTATATGTACAGCTTGTGCTATCAGTGGCCCTGATAAACCCACCACCACTCCTCACATACGTAATGACATTTTGTTCAGTCTAGAGTGTATATCATGTTTATGTTATTAATATTGTTTATGTCATATTAGATGAAGTGTGATAGATAAATAAGCCATAGAGTAGATATTAGCATAATATTTAAGCATTTTGTCATGTCTCCAAACAAACTCTCCTCCCTCCATATGCCAACAAGACTCTTCAATAAAGGTACGAGTGATTTAAATGCTCATTTATCCATTTCATTAGTGCTTTATATTTATTACACATTGTTTTCTGTATGTAAAACTATATTCTCTATAAAATGTATTTTTTGTTAATACTTTTGGGTGTCTGAAACCGATTAATTGGATTTACATTATTTCTTACGAGGAAAATTATTTCGGTTTTCGTGATTTTCGGGTTTCATCAGACTCTGGAACAGATTAATCACAAAAACCAAGGGTCCACTATACAACCACCCTAGCAATAGCACCAAAATGAACACAAACAGCAGGGCTGAACCCTTCTTTCTGCAAGAACAATTTTATTAACCCTTTTAGGGTTTTCAACGTACAGTGGACCCCTGGTTCGCGATGCTATCGGTATCCGATAAATCCGTTAACCGATGCATTATATTGCCAAAAATTTGCCTCAGTTCCCGTTACAAAACCCGGTATGCGATGCGATTCGTACGAGATGTGTCCACGTGTGGCCTGAACTGCCCCGTGTGTGCGCCAGTGTTTACAAGCCAGCCAGTGTGCGCGCATCTAAGGATACATTCCATATTATCACTGTTTTTGGTGCTTGTTTCTGCAAAATAAGTCACCATGGGCCCCAAGAAAGCTTCTAGTGCCAACCCTTTGAGACCAAGGGTGCTAATGACTATTGAAATGAAGAAAGAGATAATTGCAAAGTACGAAAGTGGAGTGTGTGTGTCGGAGCTGGTCAGGTTGTATAGTAAACCCCAATCAACCATCTCTACTATAGTGAGCAGGAAAACGGCAATCAAGGAAGCTGTTCTTGCAAAAGGTGCAACTGTGATTACGAAACAGCGACCGCAAGTGTTAGAAAATGTTGAGAGATTGTTATTGGTGTGGATAAATGAAAAACAGATAGCAGGAGATAGCATCTCTCAAGCAATCATTTGTGAAAAGGCTAGGCAGTTGCATGAGGATTTGGTAAAGAAATTGCCTGCAACTAGTGGTGATGCGAGTGAATTTAAGGCCAGCAAAGGTTGGTTTGAAAGATTTAAGAATCGAAGTGGCATATAGTGTGACTAGGCATGGTGAGGCTGCCAGTTCAGACCACAAAGCGGCTGAAAAATATGTGCATGAATTCAAGGAGTACATAGAGGCTGAAGGATTGAAACCTGAACAAGTGTTTAATTGTGACGAAACAGGCCTGTTTTGGAAGAAATTGCCAAGCAGGACCTACATTACTCAGGAAAAGGCACTCCCAGGACATAAGCCTATGAAAGACAGGCTTACTCTTCTCACGTGTGCCAATGCTAGTGGTGATTGCAAAGTGAAGCCTTTATTGGTGCATCACTCAGAAACTTCCAGAGCATTCAGGCAAAAGAATATCCTCAAGGCTAATTTGTGTGTGCTGTGGAGGGCAAACAGTAAGGCATGGGTCACTAGGGACTTTTTCTATGACTGGTTACACCATGCATTTTCCCCCAATGTGAAAAATTACCTAATTGAAAAGAAATTAGACCTTAAGTGCCTCCTGGTATTAGACAATGCCCCTGGTCATCCTACAGACTTGGCAGAGCGACTTTCTGGGGACATGAGCTTCATTAAGGTCAGGTTTTTGCCTTCTAATACCACTCCTCTCCTGCAGCCCATGGACCAGTAGGTCATTTCCAACTTCATGAAACTGTACACAAAAGCTATGTTTGAAAGGTGCTTTGAAGTGACCACAGATACTCTGTTGACTCTAAAGGAGTTTTGGAAGGATCACTTTAATATCCTCATTTGTGTAAACCTTATAGGTAAGGCTTGGGAGGGAGAGACTAAGAGGACCTTGAACTCTGCCTGGAAAAAACTGTGGCAAGAATGTGTAGGCAAAAGGGATTTCAAACGGTTTGAGGCTAACCCTGAGAAGCCTATGCCAGTTGAGGAATCCATTGTGGAAGTCCTTGGGGTTGGAGGTCAGTGGGGAGGATGTGGAAGAGTTGATGGAGGAGGACAATGACGAACTAACCACTGATGAGCTGCTAGATCATCTTCAACAGCAAGAGGCCAGACCTGAGGAAACTGCTCTGTAGGAGGGGATAGAGAAATTGAAGAAGTTGTCTACTTCAAAGATTAAGGAAATGTGTGCAATGTGGCTTAAAGTGCAAACCTTTTTTTGATGAAAATCACCCTCAGACAGCTACTGCAAGCCGTGTTGGCAACCTGTACAATGACACTGTTGTGAACCACTTTAGGAAAGTCATAAAGGAATGAGAAGTACAGGCCTCTATGGATAGATATGTTGTGCGACAGAAGTCCAGTGACTCTCAACCTGGTCCTAGTGGCATTAAAAGAAGGGAAGTAACCCTGGAAAAGGACTTGCTACCTCAAGTCCTAATGGAGGGGGATTCCCCTTCTAAACAATAGGTTCAACACTCTCCCCTCCTATCCCATCAATCACCACCAGATCTTCATTAAAGGTAAGTGTCAATTATTCTATTGCATTAAACTTAATATTTCATATGGTAAAGTTTTTTTTTCATACTTTTGGGTGTCTTGCACGGATTAATTTCATTTCCATTATTTCTTATGGGGAAAATTGATTCGCTTTCCGATAATTTTGGTTTACGATGAGCTCTCGGGAACGGATTAATATCGCGAATCGGGGGTCCACTGTACTAGTACGGCTTACGCACCAGGCTTGACGTACTAGAACACCTAAATTCTAGCGCCTTCAAATCTAGTGAAAGCTGGTAGGCCTACATATGAAAGAATGGGTCTATGTGGTCAATGTGCGCAGTATAAAAAAAAAAATCCTGCAGCACACAGTGCGTAATGAGAAAAAAAAACTTTGACCATGATTTTGGATTAAAACAGCGACTTTGCACTGTATTTTCGTATGGTATTTATGGTTGTATCCTAGTTTTCCTGGTCTCATTTTATAGAATGGAAGACATATTACAGAAATTGAGATGATTTTGATTGGTTTCACAATGAAAAGTACCTTGAAATTGAGCTCAAAGTAGCAGAAATGTTTGATTTTTACCAAAATAAACAAATCATGCCAAGCATCCAATACACGTCAACTGGTGAGTCTATTCTTTCACAAGTGTGCTGATATTATTTATACCATTTCTACACTAATGCAGTAGTCTGCATAAGAGTAAATCTTCTATTTTTTGCAAGAATAAAAATTCAAAGTGAAAAGCAAAAGAAATATAAGAGGGGCCTGGGGACGTGACTAACAGAGTACTTGTTATTTTAGTGCCAGGAATGTCTGTCTTGTTTATTCTGGACCTTATTTGGAAACTGGCATCTTCTGAAATTTGTGTGAAATTGGCAAAATTGCCAATTTCTAACGACTTTATTGGATAGTTGAAATTGGTGATTTCTTGTACTTGTTCGATAGAAAAAATGGAGTTCTAGCGAAATAAATATGATTTTTGTCGACTAGTACAGAGGAATTGGCCGAAAATAGGGCTCAAAGTGGGTGAAGTCGCTGATGCGTAAACATCGGCGAGACCGCTAACTTCATGAGAGCATAATTCCACAAGTTTTCAATCAAATTTCACACTTGGTGTCATTATGATCAGGAAAAGATTATCATTTCATAAGAAAAAAAAAATTTTCCAAAAAATTTTCGACCGAGAACAAATTTAGGAGAGTGCCTCTCGACCCTGAAATGGTTAAAATAAGAAATATCCCTGCTACTTGAGCCAAAGAGATGAGGGAAGGATGGATCTCGTTACAAGATCAAGAATCTTTCACCAACATCAAAGCACCTCCTTAAAGGGCCAGGATAATGAATCTTATTCCTTCACAGAAGGTGCCTTGATACCAACAAGGGGCTCTTGACTCAAGGAATTGAACCTGTCCTCCCATTTCCCTCCAGCACTGCATGACCAATGCTGCTTAGTGCTAACTACCCCCTTCCCTCAACCATCCTCATGAATGTGAAGATCATGACAGTCATCAGATTTGTTGCAGCTGTTTCTAACAATAGTCTTTAGCAAGTGGCAAAGTACAAAAGTCAAAATATGGATGAGTTTTATTGATAACATTACAGTATATACACAAAGCTTAATTTTTATTTCACATAGGATATCATGTCCTATAACTGAAAGATCTGTTTTCTACATTTCATAGGGAGACACCAAACCAGGGATGAATTTCATCAACAAGTCACTCATTCTACACAATTTTTACACAAGTATACTTTTAACTAGACCAATAGTTATTTTGTGTGCATGTGGTATATTTTGAAAGAGTAAAGAATAAAAACTACATTTATAAATGAGCATTTTGTACCACTAGTATTTTGCAGGACACTTAATACACTACAGCCACCAATTTCCTATAAAAAAAAAATAATGTTACCTGTTGTTGATCCCATAAAATTCAACTGTCCTATAAAAAATCAGAAGATCCAATGTTTGAAGTTTAAATACACTGATCCCAAATTAATGCAAACTTAACACATGGCATGTATTTTTACAGTAAGAATTTCCTTGTGGAACATAAAACTATTTAAAAAAATTAGTTCAACAATAAACTTGTTAAAGCATGCAATTATGCCACAGTTTGTTGTTGCTAATAAACTGCCACAAAATGATTTATTAACATACTGTTTTTGTAAATTGATACAACACCAAATTCAGCAACACAATTCCTCTTAACTTGTTTTATGAATCACAAAACCTGGGATATAAAAATCCTCAGTAGTCACTTGAAAGTCTTTCATGCACTGTATGTTCTATTATCACTTTTTTTTTTTAATTTTTCACAAATTTTTAACAATGTATATGGAGAAATATACACATCCTCAAATAAACCACTGACCAAGAGATTTTTCCATAGCACTTGTGATAGCAAATGTTGGAGTATACTAGTCAACCACCTGGATGAATTTACATGCACACATGTCAAGGCAAAGCCTACACTGCACAAACCATTATTATGAACTCTTTAATCTTTCAGATCACAACAAAAAATATTGGTAATGAAAAGAAATGGCATATGCCACTACTCTTAAATAGTGCCCTACATAATACTGGCTTTAGAATCCAAAATTATGAAAAGCAATACCACTGACTGCAAGGAAAAAAAGCACCAAATTATGCAAATATACAAGCTTCAAACAAAGTTGTCATCACAATATATATAAATTCTAGCAATTAAAAATGATTTCCATACTTTTTGAATGTATTCTTCAGGAGTCAGTAACCAGTTTCAATTCTGAGTTTAGAGAACACTGGAGTAAAATGTATTTAACCATGTTTTGCTGTACTACTGTTCAATATCTTGTCAAACACACTAGAAAAGGCCAAATTAAGTGTGTCATTGTAGGCAAAAATTGTAAAGTATAATGCATATATCCCCATTGAAACCCAGATTAATTTTAGAATCCAAACTTACAGGCAGTCTTGAGTTCTGCAGCTGGAATTTGCATAGAAGCAAAAGCCTTGCATACAGCCCTATAAATTGATTATGATACACAACACATGTACTGTCAGGGAAGTGAGAAAATTCACAACACACATCTATCACCTCAAAAATATCTTACCAGAAATAATGAACATTTTATGAAGCATACAAGATAAGGCTCTCACAACTTGCAGAGGCATAAAACAAAATATATTGAACTATATTGGCTGCAGCACTGTAATAGTCAAGTAGTAAAGACAAGCCTTAATGAGGGTAGCCAACATCCTACTTGGCCATGTAAGATGGAGCTTTCGGGCTCTCCTCTGTCTGCTACCTACCCTAGAGCACAACACCTGACAGCTTCATCATGTGGACAACAGTTGACATCACATATACCTTTGTGTAGAAAAAAAGCCAATTTGAGTAAAGCTAACTACAGTATATCTGACTGACAACTAGTAACTGGATATAAATTTACCTTTCAAGATGCTTGGGCTATGTTCACATCCTAAGAGTCCTCTATTTGTTTTGGTGCACCAATATCAAATATTATTGAAGAAAAACAACCCCTGAATAGCAAAGTTAAAATATTGGGGCAGGCAAGTAATATGGATTGGTGAAGAGAGGGCAGGTGTGGTGTAGAGCAGGGGTGTTTGACAGTGACAGTCCCTAGCCCAATATTGAGGGCTAGTAGGCCAGCCCTCATTACACAACACCTCCAATCCCTAGGTATCCTTCTTCATGTCTTCACCTTCATCTTCATCCTGAAAACATTATATGTTTAGACTGATTTTACATTGTAACAATAAATGTAAACTCAATTTAACAAAAAGATTGCCGCTTTGCAAACCAAACCTTCAATATGGTAAAAGACATGAGCACTCTGGATATTTATTATGGATATGGTTTGGTCCTGAATTTTCTTCACACATGCATGGGGATGATATGGAAGCTTATACAGCAAAAGTATGTGTGAAGTAAGCTGAATTTCACAGTAAGAATGAGATTACCATCATGGTAAGGCTGAGATCAACAGTCACTTAAGCTAAAAATTTGGGTAGATTTAAAAAACAGTTAAGCCAAATAAGCAACCAGACGTGAAGCCAGTACTGGAGAAACCAGGGGCAGGTACAGCAGGGGACATACCAGGTACAGGTCCTCCATCACAAATCCAGCATCATTGGGACCTGTAGTGTGCCGGATTACTGAGTTTGCCAGATTACAGAGTGGTTAGGTTAGAATACACTTAATAAAATTAACCAACTTGACTTACACAAAGTTCATTGAACATCGGCAAAAATCGAACATTTCCGCTACTTTGAGCTCAATTTCAAGGTACTTTTCGTCATGAAAGCAATCAAAACCATGTCTATTTCTGTAATATATCTTTCATTCTATCAAATGAGACCGAAAAAAACAAGAATATAACCATAAAAACCATGCGAAAATATACTGCAAAGAGGCGACTAATGGCTGAGAAGTGAATTCGATTATTTATCATCTGTCTTTTTTATTTTTGTTGTACATTAAGAAGCATCTTTCCATCATACATTGCCCAAGTTTCAATAAGACAGCCCAACAAATAACCGAGAGAAAAAATATTTACCAAAAATTATACGTATATGGCAAGCCCAAGCCAGGTACTGGAAATAAGTCACTTTGTCTGGCTTTTTTTTGGGTTATCCTAGGTTCTCTATACATACACTGCTATGTATGATAATCTATTATATTTTTTATTTTTTTTTATTATCACACTGGCCGATTCCCACCAAGGCAGGGTGGCCCGAAAAAGAAAAACTTTCACCATCATTCACTCCATCACTGTCTTGCCAGAAGGGTGCTTTACACTACAGTTTTTAAACTGCAACATTAACACCCCTCCTTCAGAGTGCAGGCACTGTACTTCCCATCTCCAGGACTCAAGTCCGGCCTGCCGGTTTCCCTGAATCCCTTCATAAATGTTACTTTGCTCACACTCCAACAGCACGTCAAGTATTAAAAACCATTTGTCTCCATTCACTCCTATCAAACACGCTCACGCATGCCTGCTGGAAGTCCAAGTCCCTCGCACACAAAACCTCCTTTACCCCCTCCCTCCAACCTTTCCCAGGCCGACCCCTACCCCGCCTTCCTTCCACTACAGACTGATACACTCTTGAAGTCATTCTGTTTCGCTCCATTCTCTCTACATGTCCGAACCACCTCAACAACCCTTCCTCAGCCCTCTGGACAACAGTTTTGGTAATCCCGCACCTCCTAACTTCCAAACTACGAATTCTCTGCATTATATTCACACCACACATTGCCCTCAGACATGACATCTCCACTGCCTCCAGCTTTCTCCTCGCTGCAACATTCATCACCCACGCTTCACACCCATATAAGAGCGTTGGTAAAACTATACTCTCATACATTCCCCTCTTTGCCTCCAAGGACAAAGTTCTTTGTCTCCACAGACTCCTAAGTGCACCACTCACTCTTTTTCCCTCATCAATTCTATGATTCACCTCATCTTTCATAGACCCATCCGCTGACACGTCCACTCCCAAATATCTGAATACGTTCACCTCCTCCATACTCTCTCCCTCCAATCTGATATCCAATCTTTCATCACCTAATCTTTTTATCCTCATATTCTTACTCTTTCCTGTATTCACTTTTAATTTTCTTCTTTTGCACACCCTACCAAATTCATCCACCAATCTCTGCAACATCTCTTCAGAATCTCCCAAGAGCACAGTGTCATCAGCAAAGAGCAGCTGTGACAACTCCCATTTTGTATGATAATCTATGTAACTGTATTTGTGTATACCTGAATAAACTTATTTATTTCTATTCTGTCGACTGAGTACAAGAAACCGCCCATTCACTTATTTGAACTACCCAATATAGTGGTCAGAAATTGGCAATTAGGCCAATTTAAACAGATGCCAACTTCAAAATAGGGTCCAGAATAAACAATGCAGACATTCCTGGCACTAAAATAACATTTTCTCTGTTCATTAGTCATGGCTCCAGGCCCCTCATATATTACTCTTGCTTTCCATTTGGAATTTTTATTCACAAAAAATAGAAGATTTACTGTTATGCAGACTGCTGCATTATTGTAATAATTGTATAAATAATGTCAACCCATTCTTGACTCCGTATTGGAATTTGGACTGGCAGGCGGACAGGTATTGGACGGTGACATCATTTGTTTACTCTTGAGCTTCGCTAAAGAATAGAACATTTTCGCTACTTTGAGCGCAATTTCAAGGTAGTTTTCGTCATAAAAGCAATCAAAATCATATCTATTTCTGTAATATATCTTTCATTCTATCAAATGAGACCGAAAAAAACGAGAATATAACCATAACAACCATACAAAAATATACCGCTAAGCGGACGCTAATGGCTGAGAAGCGAACTCCGCTATTTATGGTCTGATTTTTAATTTTTGGTGTACGTTAAGAAGTCTTTCCATCATACATTGCCCAAGTTTCAATAAGATAACCCAACAAACAATTGAGAAAATAATAATAATAATAATAATAATAATAATAATAATTTTATTTACTACACTTACATGTACAATGTATACAGGCCTAGCTGACATCAGTGACATACATGTACTACTATATAGAAAGCCGCTTGTTATGCAGAGTATTTCAAGCAAATTAGGTCAGTGTCCCAGGATAACACCCACACCAGTCGACTAACACCCAGGTATCCATTTACTGATGGGTGAACATAGACAACAGGTGTAAAGAAACATGCCCAATGTTTCTACCCTGGCTGAGAATTGAATATTTACCAAAAATCATATATGGCTAACCCAAGCCAGGTACTAGAAATAAGCCACGTTGTCTGACTTTTTTGGGTTATCCTAGGTTCTCTACACACATGCTGCTGTGTGTGATAATCTATATAAAGAAAATAACTGTTTCAGGTTTATGGTGCAGTACGAGTGTATATCACAGTTAGCCCTGTGCTATACTCCGTTTTCTCTAATACAAGCCCCCAAGACAGGGAGAGGAGAATGGTATTTGTATACCATATCCTCTTCATACCTCCGTCGAACTGCTCTGTATTATGCCAATTATTCATTCTGGAGTATTTAACATGTTTTATGTTATTTATATTGTTTATTATGTCATATTAGATCAACTGTGATAGGCAATAAGCTGTAGTGTTGATATTAGCGTAATAATAAAGCATATTCTCCTGCTTCATGAGACTGAGTTCATGGCAACCAACAGTGGCTTCAAAGCCACCTTATCTTTAATGGACAATGTACTGTGTAGGTGCTTTACACAACGAGAAGCATTTCTTTTATTCATTGGAACCATGGCTAGGGCTAAAAGCAAGCAGGTTATAACAAATAGAGAGAAAGAAATTAGAATGACTTATGCAGCAAGTAGCGCCACCAAACAGTACCAGCAGGTTGGTGTGGCGACCCTGGAAATTTGAAATTATGCTAGCCAAAATTAGTGCCGAATAACTGAAGGAACCGAATAACTGATTGCCGGATTTGTGATGGCGGATCTGTAATACATCACCAGTGGTAATGAAACAAAGCGAGATAAAACATCCCAAATGGTAATTCCTGCTCCATATTTGCAAATATTCAGGGTTTGAAATCAAATAAAAATGACAAAGTTCATTATGTCATTGGGCTCCTAACAGAAGTGAATGCCATGTTTGGAGCCTTTACAGAAACACATACAAGGGATGTTTTGGACGGAGAGATAAAGATAGAAAACTACAATGTGTATAGATGTGATAGAATCAATAGGTCACAGGGAGGAGTAGGAATCTATGTAAAGGATACTTTCTGTTGCACACAAGTGCTGAACTCTACGAATGATATAGTAGAAATTCTAGGCATTAAAGCTGAAAATAGGAATTTGGTAATTCTCTTAGTATACAAACCACCATCAGCAACTGTTGAGGAATTCACAGATCAGCTAAGGAAGATAGATAGCTATCTGGATAGGCTAGAAAATCCCACACCAAATATTTTACTCCTTGGAGACTTTAAGGTTCGTGGAAACGATAATGGGTCGACTCTTATTTGTCGACCGATTACGTTCAATTGTGGTGTACTAACAGAAGCTTATATCGACCAGGATTTGACGAAGTGCCAGAAAGATTGGCTGAAAAGCAAATGGAAAAAAAAAAATTATGAAAAATTACATTTGGCAGGGCGTAGGGCCAAAGTGGTACTTGGAAAAGTGGTTACTACATTTACTGCTGATAGAACACTTCTAATTCCATCCTCCCTAGTTCCTAAGTTGGTAATAAACCTTATCTTCATTCTAAAAAAAAAAAAAATACAGTTTCTAAGTTTCATGACATTTAGGAAGATATTGCCCTTGTTTACCCACACAAATTGAAAATATTTGGGATATGTCAAAAATCGGAACAAGATCGTGTAGAGCAATCATTCTTCTATGTTTGTGAAAATCAGGTCAATTTGTTCATAAATATTGGCTCTACGGCCCCAAATAGGTAAATAACTTACTTCCGAGATAATGGCCAATACGCGCGGCTACCCAGGTACGCAGGGAAACTTTTCCACGAAAAAAAATTTGCTTTATTTACACAGTTTCCGTAACCTACGAGTGTTTATTACAGTTAACCATCCGTTTTCTCTCATTATAGTGACTAGAGACTGGATATATAGCTTTGAGAAAGGATTACTCGATAAATTTCTTTCCTCTCAGGCGTCATATTATGAATAACAAAAAAAAGGCACAATACCGTGACTGGAATGATACAC